TCATGGGCAAAAATTCTATCACTTCATTCAATGCAGATTATAACAGTGAGGAATATAAAAAAAACGATGAAAGAAGGAAAAATTATTCAAACTGATGAATGATACTAGGTTTTTCACAAGATCCTGCAAATAGAAAATTTGTCAAGCATAAACAGTAGTCCAGTTAAATGTACATTCACTACAAATTGTCTTCTCCGCATTCAAATAGAATTCCTAAGTTATCATCATCACGCAAAATGTCAATTGATACATTCTGTTGAGTTTCATTAGATAATTGAATGATCACCTGTCAAAAAATCAATGACGATATGTCGTTAAGATAGATTGTGATAAATATCAAGTCAGTTGAGAATGAAATATTTCTATTATTTTCTGGAGATTTTGAGTTTATTTGCCGAACTTGCGTCCACAATAGGATTTTCACAGTTCTAGTTCATAGGAGAGGTAATCTCAATAAATTATTTCAAGCCAAAAGTTTGACTTTAAAATCCGATAATAGATATTTCTGTTGCAGTTATCATTCAAAATATAAGAAAAAATTAGGATGTGTTTGAGGTAATGCAAAAATGTTTTTTTCATCCAAAAAAATAATGGGTGATGTGATGATATAGAAATTGTTCTGGTTACTCAACTTCTGATATTTAACTGAGGCCTCATTTGTTATAGGTTGGAAACCGAATCTCAATGTCAGAACAACAAAAATCGATAATAGAAAAGATTTTCAGCCTTTTTTACTATTGAATTATAAAAGTTTCATCCCATCTCTACGTCACAGATATATTCGTGTCCACTCAGCTTTGGATCATTCGCATTTCGAATGGAAAGAGAAAGGAGAGTAATTTATGAAATTGTGGATCTTGAAAGGACACACGAAACAAGGTTCAGACATAAAGGTAAATTAATTGGCAAGGGAGGAAAAGGCGTTTGCTGCATATTCGACTCATATTACTGTTAATTAATGTTTCAATTGCATCGTTTATTGAATCGAAATAGTTTTCTATATATCAACGGAGCAGTCGTGATTATGATGGAAATTCACAGCCCGTTTTAGTTATGCTCTCAACACTACTACAATAATATGCTCTTATGAAAACTATTCTTTCCATATGATTCACTGATTCATAGTTTCCAATTAAACTTTCTCAGTAAACAAAGAGAGATGAAAATTCGACAAAATAAACTTACTGAAAACTGAATTCAATCCATTTTTGGCAATTTCTTTAAATGAAGTAACCAAATGTAGAAGACAATGTTCGATAATATTAATTTCTGCTATGATTTGAAAGGAAGAGAACTCATTTTTTGATTTCAATAGTTTAGCAGTCGTTTGAATATAGCATAGTATATTGATGAAAATAATGAATGAGGATTCAAGTTAAAATCTTCTAAAGAACAGATAAATGTATTAATCTAATGATTGAGTGTATTGTAAAAGATATTGCGTTCAACTAATTCCTGGTTTATTGAAAAGTTTCGTAATAATATTTCAAATATCTCTCTGATTCAATGAAGATTCTGCTATAAATTATTATAAGCTGAGAAGTTCAATTCGAGAAGTTACTGCTTGATACAAATCAATTACAGTCAGTAACTTGCCGTATTTACAATTTCACGAAATGTTTATATTCCACCAGGAAAACGTTTCCAAAGCCTACGAAATTATTTGAGAAAAACGACTTTATTGAAAATAGGCATATTTCCTTTTCAAGTCATCCAATTCATGATCAAAATTTATGAATGTAACGAGTTATTTCACAGTAAATCCTTTATTGATTCAGCTCTGCCTTATTTTCGGATTGTGAAAAGTCCAAAAATCCAGAGAAACAGTCGAAATTATTGACTTTTTCACATTTCTTTATTCAAACTTATTCCAAATATAAAATGAAGTATTGTTGAAGTGTTGAAAAATAATGAATATTGTTTCGAATACAGTTGTTTCATGTAGACTTGAGATACAAATGTTATAGCACCAGCTGTTATGTCTAAATATAAATTCAAATAAGTGGGAGAAGATGTTTCTCACGGATATAGTCAGTGCCTTTGGGTAATTTACCCGCTCCAAAACATTATTTTTTTTTAAAGAAAGGTTGGATGGGTAACAAGATCAATATTTTCTTTGAAAAACAATTGTTTTTTTCCAACGTTTCAAATTTCATTAAATTTTTCTTCAGGGATCGAAAAGTAGTTTCTTCGTGTTGATATTACTATTTTAAAATCCATTAGACATATTAGATATTTAAAAAAAATTAAAAACATTGCAACAACCAAATTTTCGAGACAACATATGCACAGAAGGGCATGAAACAAATATTCTGTGTTGATGTTGAATCGATAATTTGGTTGTTGCATTGTTTTTTTTTTGTATTTTGTAAATGTATCTAATATGTCTAATGGTTTTCAAAATACTAATAGTTACACGAAGAAACTACTTTTCGAGCCTTGAAGAAGAATTTATTCAAATTCGAAACGTTGGCAAGAAATCAATTGTTGTTTAAAGAAAAAATTGATCCTGTTACCGAACCAACCTTTCTTCAGAAAAATTATTGGATCACTAAACTAGTTAACTGATTATTTTCTACAGTTACTTCATATGAAACATCAGTCCGCACATAATAATGACATATTGAATCATTTGCTGTTTATTGTTTCGTCTTTGGCTATTATTTGAATCATGCTACGCATTTTCTGATATTTCGCTTATTTTTTTTGCATCTGTGACTGAAAATAAGTGATACATCACACGTGTTGGTTTTGATAAATCAACTACAAACATACATTCAAGAGATTTTATAGAAACTTAAATTATTTATGAAGCACGTAATTCAATTTCAATTTCAACATGATTCACTCTACATAAATTTCACTATGAAGAAAATATATATATCTTTCCATTCCATTTCATGAACCAATGTTTCCTAATTTCAATGAATCAGTTCCGATGGTGTCTTTGAGGCTAATATAACATGTTTAAAGTTTTTGATTTTTCTGTGTCATTTATACTTTATTTTAATATAACCTGTTTAAAGTTTTTGATTTTTCTGTGTCATTTATACTTTATTCATTGAAGTTTCAGTATGCCAATTTATTTGACTGCACAGCGTACTTTCAGTGGAAAAATTATTTAGAAATTTTGGAGTGGAAAACTATAATTGATTCTCCTGATAAAGAACTCAATATGTGTAAGGCAACATCTGCCAAATTTCACATTTTCTCTGATACTTCTTAAAACCAATCAAATAAAAATCAGAAATGGAACAGCTACAAAACAATGGTTGATTGAAAGCACTTTCGAAAGATTCAGTAAAGGTTCTGCAGATATGGGAAAATATTGAATGCTGCTCGAAATATAACCAGATATATTGACTTTGAAGTTTAATTTCACTACTTTACTCTCTTCATACTTTCACATAGATTGATTCTGTTGAAATGTCTGTTTCTTCGAGATGTTTTCTGTTTTAATTTCTATTTAGTAACGAATCAAATTTTACAGAAATGTTTTCAATTCTTTATCACTCGTTTATAAAATAGCTCGTGTTGGAAAATTCAACCCAAGCAATGCTCATATAACAACGACATTTTTCATGTTATTTGCAAACTGTTAAGATTTCTGCAATTTTGTACAACTATGTTTCAAAGTCGTCCCTTTTCTGGAATTTTTCCACTAAAAGACATACAAACTGTAGAAAATGCTATTTTATTTTCAGAGTCAAACATGATTCCATCAGCAAATCAATGGTAGATACTTTTTTTAGTAATTGTGATTAAAAATCATCGATATCGTTCAATATTTCATTTACTAAAACAAATAAAACTGAATATAAAAAAAATGGAAATATAATTTTTGCAGATGTTGTCAAAATAATCTTTATTGCATTTATAATTGATATTGATCGACCTGTTATAGAAGAAAATATTTTACTTTCCATTATCAGAATACTTTCGATAAAATGGCTGATTCCATTCTATAAGTGTGTTTCATTCGTTAATTTGAGGAGGTACACTAGTCATTGGTTTTCACTTCCTGATACTACAAAAAAATGAATGAAATCAGGTTCATCCAAATTCAAAGTAACATCCTTCATCAGTGATTTTGCCTTTATACTTCAAAAAACTATATTGTATTCAACTATATATATAAAAGAAAATATATTTTCTTCTGTTCTCTTTCCCGAATCTTTTTAGAAAAGTGATGAAAATCAAAGAGAATAATATTATTCCACTTCAAAATTTTCAGAAATTAAATGTCTTCTTTGTCAAGTTATATTTTTCTGCCATTTCAAGAAAGTGAGAAGACTATTCGTTTCATATTCTGGACCCAATATATAGAATATTTAAAAAAAAATCGGTGTCATACTGAATGACACACATCTTTTTTTGTAAGGCAACACAAACTTTGCTACATGTTTTGCAGTACTTTTACTCTTCAGTATTTAGGAAAAATGAAATGTCCAATAGTGGAATATATGTAGACATAGAAAAATATTTCTTATTCACCCCGATGAGTTACAAAATGAACACATTTCACTTTTTCCTAAGAAAAATATTTCAGCAGTCAGTAATTTATGTATTATCGTCAATATTTATTAACAACTATACTATTGTTTTGTAGGTAATATCTTTCCTGAACATACTTGAAATTTTTCAGGGTTTTCAATTCAAAATTATCATCCTGAAAAATGACATACTATTCTAGTTTCGTCCCAAACTGTATGACTATTCTGTTGAACTTTTAGAACATTTCAGTAAATTCATTTTCGTAGGAACAAAAACATGAAACATTCATTTTTGCAATATTCTAAGAAGTATGATATCCATTTGCTTCAAGATATTATCAAAGCAGTCTATAAAAGTCAAAGGTTCTGTAAAGTAGCTCAAACATCTTTCAAATCATTTCAGAGATACTGGTGAATCATATCATATTGACTTCTTTTGAAATAACCATAAAAATAAGTCATACTCATAGGTAATGAGTATGGTTGTTTGGAATAAAGTAACACCTATAAAAATAAAACGTAATTTATTGGTCCAAAACAACAACCGATAGAAAATGAAATATAAGCGGTGAAATGAACATCGATTCAGTCTACAGCAACCGTCTTTTCGTTCGATCTAATATAGTATAATTCAAATGTCATTTACCTAAATGTCCTCATCCTCGTTGGTAAACGTATGTAGACATAAATTAATATATTGATGTGAGCAAAGGCACTAATTGAAGATTAACCACAGGGAGGTTAGAGAGAGACAAACTCGGGGACGAGCGGAACGCAAGGGGGTGGTGGGGGCGGGGGGAGCTCCGCCGCGGCGGCAGCAGCGGCGGCGTCAGGCAGGGACAGCGTCGAGCTCCCTCCGGCAGTTACTCTAGGACCCATGTTGTCGTACTGCGGGGCGACGTACTGCCTTCTAGGCAGCGTTGCCATTCCGTGGTAGATCGGCTTGGGCCTGTGGGGCAAGTCCAACAGATCAGGACACCTAGATACATCAATCGAAGGGTCTCGACTCACTGACACTGAGATGAAGATGTTGCCGTAGGCTCCGGCAGGCAGGGTGCTGGTAGAAAACTCAGGCGGCGGGGGATACACAGAGAGGGGCAGCGGCTCCCGTTCGATGGTGATGTGAACCGGCGGATCCATCAACTCCACTTCCGGTCCCAAAGCTTCGCAGCTGCCCGTCCCTCGATCCGTTGTTGTAGCGATGCTGACATCCAGGAGCTTCTTCTCTTGGTCGTTGAAGCTGACGCTGGCCTTCATGTTCCTCCGCTGGTCCGCTCGTCTATTCTTCACGCAACACATCGCAATCACCCCTACCACTGAAGAAAATCCCACCGCGACGATAACCAGCACTATACCTAACCACACTATTTTTGAGTCCGACTTGCTCAGAGTCGTCGCAGTCACTACTTCCGGAAGCACCAGGCTAACGTTTACGTAGGAAGAGTCTAGGATGTTCTTGGCGACACATGTGTACAATCCCACGTCCGCGTCACTCACGTTGAAGATACTGATGTTGAGCCACTTGTCCAGCAGGCCCTCTTCCGCGTCCATCTTCAGCCAGGTATGGTTGATGGGGTGGCCATCATACAGCCACGAGGCCTGCGGTTCGGGGTCGCCAAATACGTGGCAGCCAAGGGTCACGTTACCACCGGCTTCGGCTTGCACTTCCTGCTGAGGGTTGGCGAATACTCGAGGAGGACACGCGAACTCCCCAGAGGGCACGTCCTCCCACTGACGCTCGGTCAAAGCTTCCGGTTCGGCACAAATCAACGACACAGAATGGAGTTTACTAGCCAGGAACCAATCGCGGAATCCGCGAAGATTGCAGTCGCATCGCCAGGGGTTTCCCTCTAGCGTGAGAGTTTTGAGGTGGGCAAAGTTCATGAATGCCGCTTCGGAGAGGTTCTGCAGCAGGTTATACTTCAAGCTGAGCGTTTCTAGAGCGGTAAGGTGTATGAACGCCTCCTTGTCCACGATCTCCAAGCGGCATTCCTCCAGGTCCAAGGTTCTGAGATGTGGTAGGGGTGGAAACTGGGCTCGGATGAGGCGTCCCAGGGGATTCCCGGTTAGATAAAGTACACGCAACCGCTCGTTCCCGCGGAATGTCTCGGGATGTAAGCTGGTGATTTCGTTGCGTGACAAGTCAACCTCTACTAGTATGATTAGGTCTTTGAAAGCGTCGCGATGGATCTCGGTTAATCCGGCACTCGATATGTAGATGCGCTGAAGGTTGATTAGGCCTACCGACTTGAATGCCGCTTTCGGCAACTCCGAAATCATATTTCCGGACAGATCGAGCACTTGCATACCTTCGTCAAAAGTTGCTGGGATGCTTGTAAAGCCGGCTTGTTTACAGATCGCCGTTTTTTTCCCGGAGCTCCAGGTACATCTGCAAGGCGTGGGGCAGTCAGTCCAGTCTGGGGACGCTAGGGCTAGCGCCATGGCGATGAGCAATAGCGAAATCCTAGCCATCACTTATCATCTTGCCACCTGGTGCTCGTCGAACTACACTCGACACTGAGAAACTTTCGACCGACCGTCACCATCACAGTCGACACAAAAAGTCAAGTTCCGTCGAGGGAACAATAACAACTGTTCATGCGGAGGTCGTTGCGCCCGGAGTTATTTTGGTTTTTGGGTTAGGACGTGGACCGCGTCTTCGTAGCGCCTCGTCATGACGTACTCGCGTGTGTTCTGGATTTCAGTTCACCGCACTATGATGTTAGTCCGCAGCTTAATGGGTCGAGGCGCCGCTAGTTGTTGCGTCGGCGTCGTTACGTTCGGGATGCGCCGCCCAACCCTCTGCAGCAAAGAACCTGCTGCTTCTCTCGCCGTTTGCCGATTAATGTTCTGATTTTCGCCAGGTTTATATCATCGATGCCATATTATTTTTTTTTGATTTGTGAGATCGGTCGATACTTAGTGGCGAGGCTTAGTTTCTGTTTAATGAAGGGGTGCCGCTGAATGTTCGTAGTTGAAAACGCCGATTCGTGTTTGTTTTGATCTTTTTCAGCGCTTGCTCGCATCATAATCATTTGCGTTGTTGGTTCTTTCTTGATGCAGTTATCAGATTATCGATGCAAATTTTCATTCTTATCTGTTCTATTATTGATTTATCGTGAATAAAACAAATTTATATAACATGGATATAATGCAATATTGATGTTTTCACAATATTATTGAAGTAATAATACAAAAATTCCATATGTTTTTTGAAAAGTTGAAACTACCTTCACATTTCTCAAATTTTCATCGTGACTTTCGTGACGTTGAAATCCCCTTTCTTTTCTGTTTAAAGTCTGTTTTTCCGTTAACCAGCTGTCGCACCCCTACGAACGACAATCCTCAGAATTCGAAACTTGTGCGAGTTAAGGATTAACGAGGTCTTACTTTTCAACGTGTGATTCCTAACACGTATGCAATTCAATAAATTTCATTTATTGGTTTGATTTGTACCTATTGATTTAATATTTGCTTTCAATTAGTTGACGATAAAAACCATTCGAGTATTTTATGTAATGAAATTTATATGTTTATATGCTGAGTCATAGTTTTTCAGTTGTCTACTATCTTATGTCAGAACACGAAATACTTCAAATCGAGTTTCAAAAAGAATTGAAGTCATTTTCAGTTCATGAAAATTTTTATTCAGTCTCAAAATTCAAATAACAAGTGGCAGCTGTTATATTTTTGAATTTATTGATTTTAGATTGAAAAATTCATATAACATGTGGTTCGATTTTTCACCGTCTTCGGGTGTTTTCATTTCCCCAAAAATAATCCAAAAAAATATTTTGAAGAACCCAAAGACATTTCTTTTATAAACTACAAAAGTTTTTAGTCTTTTGTGCAGTTTGTTTTCAGAAAAACACGGTTTTCATAAAATCTAAGAGCTTCTTTGATTTCATCTTCTTTGATTGATAAGATCTTAATTCGATTGGTTAATAATGGGAATCAAACAATAACTCAGAGAACTATATCTCAAAACAACACACCTTCTGGTAAAAACTACTACATTTTTGGCCTATCAAAATGGTGCATATTATTATTTGAATTTGTTATCACAATTGGAATTTTTGATGATCGGTATTTACATTTCCAATCTATGATCTGCTTATTTCAATAGAATTATTCCACACTGAAGGTTCCACTGCAGGCTTCAAATTAACCTGTATTATTCAATAATATTATAACAATGAAAAGTATTGGCTCTAGAATGATACTATGCTCAAATTAAGAACTCAAAGAAGAAAAATATGCATTGAGATTCAATTTGATTTTTTTAAATAAATGAGACCTTGTATTAATTAACAAAAATTTAAAACTTTCCACCAAAAACTATACCTTTGTCGAATGTGCTAGCTTGCGCTGAATGCATTTAAATTATTGCAATCGTCTAAAAAAGGAAATGTTATGGAAGAAATAGAGCTCCCAGATTTTATGGAAAAAGAAAAATGTTCACAAATACAATAATAATAATAGTAATAATTCATTAATTTAATAAACAGGGTTATTTTGAAGATACATTTTTTGTGGTTATCAGTTTTCTCGAATGAATGAGGGTATCTTCAACCATTCTTTCACATGACGATGACAACTTTTACAGAAGTGTAGTGAGAGGTTGAATCTGAATTTCAAGGAATGTACTGGCTTCTCTTGAATTTTATAGAGCAAAAAATGCTGACTGGTTCACTGAATTCAGCAAGTTTGGGGTTATCTCTGTCCAAAATTACATCCCAATCTCTTCAATGAAAAAATATATACGTGAAGGAAGTTTAAAGAATATATTAAATTGGAATATCATACGATTATTGCATTCCTGTAAGTTTTCATATTTACTTTTTCAATTGTGTATTGATTTCGATGAAATTCCGGAAATTGGTAAACCAAAACCTGCTAATTCTTGTGTAGTAATCTGAATTGTGATGAAAGTTATGAAATTGAATTTGTATGGTATTTTTTGATTTTTATTCTCTTGGTACTTTTTTGATGATTGATAATACATTTCAACGTGATTTTGACATACATCATGTCAGACATATATCTATTGAGTGGTCTGATTTTTTCAATATAAGTTTGGTGTTCAAGTAGAGTTTTTGAATGTCTACATAATGAAAGAAAATAATAATTCCAATAGTTTGAAAAATATGTTTATTACATTTTGGATATTTCATACTACATATATTATTTCTCTTTTTTTCAGTAGAACGGCCAATCTTCAACAGATTACAGTAAATTAGATACACAAAAGGGTGTAAGTTTCATTGAATAAGTCTTCGAATGAATAGTCTTTCGTTAAAGAACAATTCGTTCACATTCGGCCGTGGTTGCTATTATATCTTGAATATATCCTCATTACCCTAATGAGTTTTGAAATTGGTTTCTCTCTATCGCAAATGAAAGAAGATGAGTTCTCAGGCATTACATTCCACATGGATATCAGGAATGAAAATAAATAATTCTAATCAGATTAGAATTCAAATTACCGGTTGATGATATGTTTATAAGCGATTCGAGAACACAAATTCCATCTTATTGCAATATCAAAATGACTATGATATTGTCATAATAGATACGAAATTTTTTTTTAAGGACAAAACACAAGCACTACAGGAAAATCCTAAAGGCATCTCAGGGCGGTGCCTGGAGATTAAATCCAATTGGAAAAACGTTCTCAGGAAGTTCATTCCACATATACGCAGTTCTTCAGCAGAAAGAGTTCTCAAACAGTGAAGTTCGAGGTGTTCTGAGTTGAACCTCAAAACGATGAGCAGCCACAGTCCGTCGCGTATTTCTGATATGTACCGCTCTTGGTGAAATCAAATGTGCCAAGTCACTTGAACACTTTCCGTGGAAGTATCTATAGAAGAGATACACATCTCCAATATTTCTCCGATGTTCCAGGCTGTCAAAGTTGCACGTGATGTTCGCGTCTCCAATCATATTGATGGCTCTTTTCTGGATGGAATCCAGCAACTTCAGGGTATGTTTGGGGGCAGAGCTCCATACTTTAGAATAATACTCCAATGAAGGTCTGATCTGAGCTTTATAAAGCATCAAAAATTGCTGAGGTGTGTACATTGTACATTAGTGACATCATTGTGCCAAGACATACTGATGTCCATTTCAACCCCCAACAAACTTATCAAAGCAGAAAGCGGAATTATCTGACCTGACATTGTTATATCCTATTCAGAAAAATGTATCTTCTTGGAGAAAACCGATGCCTGGATTTTTGTGGAATTGAATTGTAATCACTTCTAGATCCTCATTAAGATATGCAACCTCCTGCTGCCGGTGAAGATGTGCCTCCGTAGCTGATGTCCAAGAATCCAAATGGAATGACGAGACAAGTGTGCTGTCGTCAGCAAACAATATATTGGATTCTTGGTTTTTCTCCAATGAGTCGTTGATATACAATAAAAAGAGGTTTGGAGACAATATGGATCCCTGGGGAACACCAGCGTTGATGGTGAAAGTATTTTAATAGATATAATCAAAATCTGACTGGAGAAATCAATGTGAAACAGCCCTAATTTTTGCCATTTGTCATTCTGAACCTATCAAGTTCTACAGGTTTAAAGAAAAATTTGGTCATTTCAATATTTCATATCTCGTCCCTACTGTCATTTCGGTTTTCTCCAATTTTTTTATTTTTCTAATCTTTCACTTCGCCGATTTGAAAGAAACATAATCCGAACTGATAAAAAAAAATTGAAACTTTGAAAAATGTTGATTGACAGCACTATGTTCAAACTTGATGGAGAAGGATAAAATGAGAAATCGAGCAACTTTTTTCTGACATTTTACAAAATGCATACTAAAATCATCATTTATTGAGAATTTTCGAATACATATTGAATTTGACAGAATGAAAGTAGCACATGACAAAAGAAGAGGGGCTGGTTTTCACCGACTCAAGCACAAATTAATTGTTAAGTCAAATTTTGGTTACCTATATGTATTGATAAAAAACTTCTGTAAGTTGTGGACTTTATTGAATCACAAATTGAATACAAAATTCTTTTTGTAAACCTGTTTGTCAGGACATCATACTTTTCAATTCGGAAACTTCAGGAAAAATATTTCAAAAAAAAATTACGCTTTTTGACAAAAATCTTATCGAATCTTGATCAAAGTCTTCAAACGAGGGTTATTTCTTACGAAATTACAGAAGCATGAAAACGGTTCCTTAACATTTTTTTTCATTTTGATATACCAACATTTTCGTTCAAAACAAATCCATAGTTATTACAAATTTTCTCATATGGCGATATTTAGGGAAAGTTGGAAATCTGCCATTAGTCAAAGAGTACCCGAAATAATCCCTCATGTTTTGTCCTCTTTTTCTATATTTGCGCATCTGTACGCCATTCTATAGGTAGTAGCAACTTCATAAATTCCTTATCAACTAGTTGTTGGCCACGACTTCGGTTGTGTGGGCTTCAGTTTTTGAGTTTTCCAAGATTTTCTTACATGACGATAAGAAAATCGATCTACAGAATTTGAATATATTTGTGCAAAATTTCAGTCATATCTAATAAACAGTTCTTTCAAGAGATATCTTACACAATTAAAAATCTGTTTTTTCGTTAATCAGCTGTCGCATCCCTACGAACTACAACCCTCAGAAGTCGAAACTTGTGTCAGCTAAGGATTAACGAGGTCTTACCTTTTGAAGTGTGATTTCTAACACGGGTTGGACGATATCAAGTGAAAATCGATCGTTCAGACTAGGGCTTGAACCACCGACCAACACGGCAGTCAATTCGAGGGAGTGAACAAAGCACCCCCGTCGAACCGCCTGGCTACCGACCGCCCAAATGATTCTCAAATTGACATTTTTTTTTATAAATCGCATCCAAATCGGTTACATCCAAATCGGTTATGTTGTTTTAGTCGCAGAAAAACAGATGAGCCGACA